AACTGAAAAGGTAGAGCAACCCCGACCTATGTACCTTATTCATACTGACTGACGATTTGTAAAAGCACATCTCGTCATTATGCGTTGAATAATTGACAGCACAATATTCTTAGCAGAGTCTATCAGACGCCACGCGAGTATTGGTTTTATAATTTATTACTTTGCCATTTTTGAAACAGTATAAGTTTTAGTGTTATATATATATATATATACCTATGTACCTATGTACCTTATTCATACTGACTGACGATTTGTAAAAGCACATCTAGTCATTATGCGTTGAATAATTAACAGCACAATATTCTTAGCAGAGTCTATCAGACGCCACGCGAGTATTGGTTGTATAATTTATTACTTTGCCATTTTTGAAACAGTTATGAGTTAATTGATTAATTGATCAAATATTTATAATAATTTGTATTATTATGTACTTAAAAAGTTGTATAAACTTGAAAAGTTAATAATTGATAAACAAAAAATAATTAATAAAAATATATTTTTGATTAAGATTTTTGTGTTAAATTAAATAGTTTGTTACATTTCCTTAAACCATGCCTTATATTATAAAAATCAAGTGGAAAGAACGTACGTTACAATTCTTACCTTTAAAATAATATATGCGTCATCATTTCATTTCATAATAAACTATGTATTCTTTCATAGTTTCTTCACATAAAATACTAAATCATCTAATTATGGTTTCTTTGAAAAAAAAACATAATTTGTTTAAAATTTCATGATTTAAATTTTATTTTTTTTACATTTAATTTGCTTTACCATTTATTTACCGAACTGCTTGTTACAGCAACTGATTTTATTTCAATTTGACAGGTTCAATTTAGGCAATTACGTGTGGTCCAAATTTAGGCAACTTTTACAAATAATATAAAATATTTCACATTTCAATAATAACTATAATATTAAAAAAATTCTATTTAAATAATTGTACTTTACATTTGTCGAATAACGAATTGGTTCAATATAGTTAATAGTGCCAAATAGCCAAATTTGAGAATTCTCTATTAAATTAACTAGTAAAAAAAAACAAGTTTTAACCACGAATAATTGTATTTATATTTTAATTTGAATGAAATTCAAAGATTGACGAAATAAATAATTTGTTGCGCGTGTACAAATTAGTTTATGAAATGCAACATAAAATCATTAATTAGCAAAGCAAAATTAGCATTTCCAACGCTTGTTAAGAGATGAGGAAGAACTATAAAGTTACCGCTTTAATTAAACTTTGCATGCGATTAAATTCTAATTACGCGCAAATGAATAAATCGTTTTCTTTTTCGCATTTATAATTCTTTCCTATAATTTTCCTTTTCATTAAGCAAAGTTTCGAGAAAATAATATTTTACTCGAACCGCAATGTGCACTAAATTTATATGATCTAAAGTTAAACTTTTTTCTGCTTCTCTTTCTTTTTCTTCTTTTCAGTTTTCTTCTTGTCGGTCGAAGCGATGGAACATGAAAAGATATATATGAGATTCTTATATCGGCAAAAACTTGTTTCTTTCTTTATTACTCACAGCACGTGCAAACGAAATATGATAACGTTTCTCTTGCTATTCCATTTCACATCTTCACCAAACGCAAAATATTGCCAATCTTGTTACATTTCCAAAAAAAATGTTTGTATTTATTAATCTTTGCTTTTGAATTAAGTCAAAATAATATTGATTTCTGGAATTTAAACACATCTTGTTCAATGTTGAAGTTAATTGAATAAATAATTTATTGATATTTCTAAAAGAACAAATCTCAAATTTCATTAATTAAAGAAATTAATATATGGAGTTCAAATAGCACGATACGACAATTCTTATAACACGGAAATTGCACGATATCTAAATATCTAAATTAAAAATCTGGAAGCTAAGGTCTATTTTGATATGGATTTAGAGCATAGAATAACACTTGTTTAAATAGCACGGAATTCAAGGGTTGACTGGATTTATTATTCAAGAAATGTTTATTATTTTATTTATTTATAAATGTTTTATAATTTTTTTAAAGTAAATTTACATAATTCATTACATAAACATTCATGTTAAAGCACTATAAAACGGAAATGCATAATTGATGTGTAACAAGCGGAAATAATTTCATAAATATTAAATAAGTAACATTTCACGTAAATTAAAATAATAAATATACGGAAATAAATTTGTCAAATAATAATTTTACATTGCAACAAATAATATTTTATATTTACTGACAAATTGAGACAAATATATTTAAATACAATATTTTCATTTGATCTAATTATAATTATAACGATTCACCTGCAAACTTATACAAATAAAGTTAAGTTATTTTTTTTAATATAAAATATTTAAAGCAAAAATAAGTGGAGGTCAATTTATTAAATGTTACCATTTATATCAGTGGTCGGCAACATCTTTGGAGCAAAGAGCCATTTATAAGATATAAAATGTACAGGGAGCGCTAGTAATATTAGATTTTTGCTATCCAACGCTTATGTGGAATAGAAACTGGGAGCCGCATTTTCTCATCAAAGGAGTCGTATGCCACAATATGTCTTGAGTTTATACATTTATAGAATTTTATAAACAATGTTTCATCAATTAAAATTAAAAATGGTACAAAAGTTCAAATAATATGCATTAATCAAACTGACAAATTCAGACACATTTTTAAATACAAATATTGCGTTTGATCTAATTATAATTACAAGGATTCATCAATTTATGCAAATAAAGTTAATTATAATTTGATGGATTGTGTTAACTTTTCAATATTTTATTAACAACTTAAAATTTGTTAACAAATTTATAGATTTTTTTTAATATAAATTAAACTGATAAAAAATACATCTTATTATTATAAATATAAAGTTTATAAATTTTAAAATGTTATTGTCACTACCCATCAGTTCATATCGTTTTATTTATTGAAATTATTATCAATACTTTAAACACATTTAAATAAAACCCATTACTCAATAAATTATTATTCAAAACATTTACGCGTTTTATATATTTGCTATAAATCTAATGGATGAAAAATCAATAGGCAATATTCAAATCACCTTTTGTGCTGTTTATTTATATCAATTAGTCCGGTTTCAAACAGTGTGGGCTATTGACAGAACTAATAATCACTTTACTAAATTACTATATCCGATTTCATACAAAAAACTTATTCCATAAATATTTTTCATAGATCAAATGGATGTAAAATGGATATGAAAAATAAAAGTACATTAATTCAATATATTAAATTGTACAACCGTTTCAAAAATATAAATATGCTGATGTAACGTATGAAATTTATCAAGTTTTATGTAAAATTTCCAAACAGCCAATGAATAATGCATATGCAAATCAAAGCTATTTCTCTGGTGAATTTCGGAATTTGCAAAGCCCAATCATAGTTTTTCACCATTTTTGCCGGTGACCCAACATATTTGATGAAGTTGTACAGAAACCCAATTACTAGTGTATATCTCCAGATCCTCTCTTTGACACAAGGTGACTGGTGTCATTTGGAGACCAATTAAAAACTAAACGAGACCCAATCTTCTTGGTTAAGAAACGCTGCTCCAAATAATAAATCTCTTTGTACAAAACACTTAGTGTATTACAAAATATAGTATTTACGATTATTAAAGCAATCTAGTAAATTAAAGCAAAGACTGTAGTAAATTACATACTTGGAACGAAATTTAGGATAAATTTTATAAAATAAGTCATATCTATTTATGTTTGGCAATAGATTTTTTTATGCACATGCAAATTAAAGTAATCTATCTGCTGAATTTCAGTATTTTTAGAACCGATTTTCAACATTTTTTCTGTGTGACCTAACATATTTTTTTTTTAAATCGTACAGCGATCCAATTATTAAGCCAAATCCTCGTTTTGACATAAGGTGACCTGTCATTTTGCGAACTATTAAAAATTTGACGAGTCCTAATCTTGGTTTGTTGAGAAACGGTGCTCCCAACAATAAAACACTTCGTACTCGTAATACAATGCAGATATTTGTGTAATCTACTAAATTAATCAGAATTATATTGTAAATTACACGCTTATGTTTTGGTAATAGATTTTTTTTAAGTATTGCAAAATTATATAAATTATTACAGATATTTTAATTAAGCTTTAATTAAGCGTAACTTCAATGACTATGTGTTAACTTTTTTTTTCTAAAACACGTTTTGAAATAAACAGTTGTAAATTATAGAATATTTCATAATCTATCAAGCTGTGATATTGGGGAGAGTTTACGAAATTTGATCAAATTATTTGTTTTTTTTTTAGATAATATTTTAAGAAAAAGCAACCTCTTTTGAGCAATGTAGCACTAGTAAAATTAGTTTTTGCTATCCAACATAACTAATGCTTACAATGTGCGGCTCCGGAGCCTCAAATTGTTTTGAGATTATACATTTATATATTGTTTTAAATATTGTTTCATCAATTAAAATTGATAATGGTAAAAAAGTGAAAATAAGATGTATTAATCGGTAAACAATTGGTTTCCCAGAATGGACCATTAGCTTATTTTTTTTTTGCAAGTATATTTTTAGCAAATTACTTTTTGGTGTTTAAATTTTGCAGATATCCTATACAGGTCAATTTAACATATTGGTCCAACTTAGACGCCGGTCCAAATGCGGCAACTTTCTTCAATAGGTTAATCATATTAAGGCACACAAGTTTTGTGTATTATATATTAAATAATTTCTATTACTTATTAAAGAATTTAAACCAAAAGGCAGAATTTTATTCAATATTTTATTATAAGTAATAATTTCTACAATTCGATTTTGAAAGCAGCTACATATTATGTAATACTGGCAAAGTAATTTGTCAAGTACAATTACTTCAAACTTCTAAGTTTAACAAGTCATATATGCAAGTACAAGTTCACATAAAATATTACTTGTCGAGTAATTTGCAATATGCAACCAACTTTATGTAATCACAATAAGTGGTTAGATGATAAATTAATGATTGTTTCAGGTGTTCGAACAGAAGTTGTATACACTCCTATATGCAATTAATTAAAAGTGTGCATACGTGGTCGGCCTGAAAAAAAAACGAATGAAAATTATGAGGGCTAATTGCGCCGTTTACAACAACTTTAATTGCTTTCGGAGATGTAACAATGCGTGTGAATCCAGTTGCATAATTCATATGCGAGTCTTGAATTCTCTTTAGAAGCAAAGTGAATTTAATTTCATCATCGATAAGGAAATAAATGTTAGCTTAACAAACTACAGCTGTACCATCATGGAACCATGCGAAAATGTGTTTAACATGTCGGTAAGTATATAGTATGAATATAGTTTAAAATCTAATATAAAGCAAAATACATTTTTAAAATCATGTTCATCCATTAAGTCCCAAACGCAATCTGTACAGCCCCCAATTAAATTCGTCCTTTGACAATATCCAATTAAACTCAACTAACAGCGTTAATAGAAGCAAACAGGTGTAGATGAATCTTAGGTCATCATTATAACAGAATATACTTCTTCCGAGTTGCTGTATAGCAAAATTCTGCAAAGCGAAAGGGCCCACAAATGTGGGTCCGTTTTCATCCATACATACGTATATATACATCTCACAAAAAAGGACGATAATCTTAATGTGGGCCCCAAATAGGGTGTATTTGGTGAAGTTCTTGAGGGGCCCTCCTATCACGATTTCCGAATGCCTAGATATTGCTAAATACACCACTGCTTCAGTGATTATTAACCATAGAGTTGTCCCAATAATTGCTGTCCATTTGTTAAAGCTTTCGTGCATCAATTCCACGCTCGATACTTTATTGTTGTCCACTATCACCACGCATACGAGAGAATCAGACAATTTATCAATGAAATGGTGGATCCAGATGGCATGGTGTTCCATCTTTGTCTTCATGATCTTCACTGCGACGGGAGGAAACACTATTGTCATATGGATTGTTTTGGGTAAGTTACAAAACAAATATTTGTAAAGGGTGTCCCAAAATTAGATAGATTTGAATTAATCTATTTAATTCTCCGGACCCCAAATGCGGCAATTTTGGCGATTAACAAAGCCATCAAGGTGAAAATTTGCTTCATCGCTTAGGATGATTTTGCTCGAAAAATCAGCATCCATTTGTTGATGTTCAACAATCCATTCAACGCCCTATTTTTACGAACCCTAATCTCTCAGCTGCCAAATTGTTTATTTTTTGGGGTAGCCAACACTGCACAAATGGCATCAAATTCAAATCTTTCGTTAATTTTGAGACACCCTATATTATTAAAATATAAAAAAATGATTGATCTTCCTATTTTACATAATTATATAAATAAACAGCGCATGTATTCGGTATTTATACTATTATGATGGATATATTATTATGATGGATTTGTGAACTCTATTGGATAAATGAATTAATGTCTATCAAAATGAAAGTTTCGCTGTACAAAATAGCAATATGCTTTTAGCTCAATTTTCATTGAATTACTATAATTTACTTTGCTTTCGGATGATTCATTATGATTAAATAACTTTGATAATCTTCTTTAATTTGTTACTAAAGTTACCTGGATTTCATTTTAATTGGATGAAAAGAAGACGTGCAAAAAGATCTGAAAACAAAAGAAACATGAACAATACGTGTGTTTTTAATATCCACTCTTGCATAAAGTTACATTAATTATATTTCCGCTCGGACTGTTTAAAGCAAAACCATGTACATAAGTCTTTCGCATCGTTGAAATGGATTATCATATGTTTCCGGAATTTGCGTTTCTTTTGTCCCCCGATCGGTAATTACATAATCTACTTGGAAAATTGCTGCCGGCAATAATACGAATTATGGTCGTCGCTCCGTCGGAATTTAAAGAGGATTTAACTTTATACAACAAAGGACGACTTCTGTGTAATTTAAGTTCCAGCTTGATTAGGGTAGAGAAAACGTTGAAAGTTGATTTTATTTTCTGATTAAATTGCTTTCGACGGAAACATTTTTCTCAAGGTCACAATAATATTTTCAGACGATTCTTTTTTTACATGTGCCCAATTTGGACCTTTAAATATGAATAATTTGGTGAAACTTGATTAAATTGTTTAAACAGAAATTACATGTGCGCAACTTATGCTCGTTTTACATTGGTATCATTAAGATTGGTATCATTTTACATTAAATATGAATGGAATTTGCTGAAACTTGATTAAAATATTTTCTACATAAACATTTGTTTCAATGTCAAATCATTATTTTTAAATGTGTGTAATTTAGATTGGTTTTTCGTTTTCCATTAAATATAAATTAAATTGACTGAAATTTGATTAAATTATTTATTTTAAGCTTACAACATCTGCATAACGTACGTTTTGCATTTGCACCTTGATGTTAATGGAATTGGCGAAATTTGCTGAAACTTTAATTGAAATTAATTAGAATTAGGTGATTGGATCGGAATTCCGGAAAACCGGATGCGTTCAAATTGGCAAAACGTAATCAACGGAGGAATTCGCTGGATTTTGGGGATGAAAAATGGGGGGCGATGTGTAGACCATGGGAGAGGTCGATATAAAACCCTTTCGTTCAGTGATTTTTTTTTGGTCTGTTTCAGCACACAAACGGATGCGGACCGTAACGAACTACTTTCTGGTCAACCTCAGCACTGCGGATCTGATGCTTTCCACATTGAATTGCTTCTTCAATTTCATATATATGCTGCAAGGGTAAGTTTTTTTTATAACGCTCTGCTTTTATATTTACCAGAATACATTGCAAATGATTAATACTAATTTGGAATATAAGTTCTTCAAAGTAACTTCTATTTTTATGGAAATAAAAACATACAGTTTTTTATTTATTATTAAATGAATACAATTTGTGCACTAAACGCGCCTTGTGTTTAACTTGAGTTTTAGCAGTATTATGCATTATTATAACACCAGCATATTTTTTCTGATTATATATATGGTAATGGTACTGAATGGGTTTACAATTAACCATTTGCGGACGATTGGCGGATATATACGCTGCGGTAGAGACACAATTATTTAATCTCAGTTCTCAAACGTTGGCGCCTAGTCTTTTTCAAACGTTTGTTGTATAAAAGCCTTATATTTTCTATAATTTGATTATGTTAAACACACTATAATTTTGATATTCTCCCTCATAATTTTCCTTCAGTATTTTTTTCCTGTGTCCTCTTTTTGCAATCCTGATAATCCTGCAAATGCCATAACGCCATAAACTTGCAATATTTCTCCATACTTTATTAAGATTGCCGTAAAAGCAGTGTTCTACTGTATAAACCTTTCCGCAGTCGCAAACCTTTTTTCTTGTACAAAACACTAAAAGTCGTAGTATATATTATAATATAAATATAATATTCTATCTTTTTTCATGAGCACATAAATCAGGTATAAGAAATAAATGAATAGTATTATATAATTATAAAGTGTAAAAAATGCAAGTATTCTAGTCAGTTTATTTTTGAATATTGACAATATTTAGTATATATAAAGATACAAAGTGTGTATGAAAATGAATTTAATTTATTATAAAAAAAACTGTTTTCTGTTCAATCAGGAATCTTTATAGCGTTTAGTCAATATCAGAATAATTATCATTATTAACAAGACATGAACTTTTATATAAGAGTATTTATAGATTCCTAATTTCCAATTTTTTTTTAATGAATTCGTAAAAGATTTAAATCAAAGACATTTATGATAATAAATCAAATAAATTAGTTCCAAATCAGCATTAATTCATTCAACAATAAGACGTTATATAAAAATTGCACAATTTTATGTGTAACATTATTTTCTATGTTTTTCGATATGTAATGTCAGCTTTTCCTTACTCCAAAATACATTTTGTTTGGTCATATCATAATCATTGCTCTTACATTTTGGTATAGTTATTTTTGCTATACATTTATAAGTTCATTTTAGATAAAATAATTTATAAATCTTATTAATTTGGTATATTAGCATCTCGTTTGGGATTCTTGTCTTTGCCAAAGCATCTGCACTAATTGCGTCGTCTATTATTGATTATTCCATTGTTTTAAGTATTGCATGATGCAAGCTCATATATATTTTGTTTAACGTTTTGTGTTACATTTTATATAAACATATAGATTTTGATTGTTATTGTGTTTTTTTGGCCAAAATAACTGATTTAATTCATGCATTATTCCGCTTGCGTCAGTTACAGCTGTATTCACAGTCCAATTTTTTCACAAACAAATGGAATACAAACGAGCTTTGCAGCATCAATTTACATTTGATGTGTAAATTATGTATAGATTACTCAATCATAGTTTTAATCTCCCATTTACATATAAAATCAAAAAACCTGATACAGCAGTACTTCGCATAGTGC